TTTTGCCTACACGTCTTACACGATATTCGTACGTAAGAATTACATATTAAAACTAATCATAAAGCGAATTTAGGTCTTTTTACATTTTTGAAAATATAAATATTTAAGCTGTATGAAAATAAATAAAATACACAGATACATTGTTTCAGTATTAAATTGTATATTTCATCATCTTCGTTTATACACATTCATATATATTTAGTTATATACATATACAATAAGATATACAACATGCTTTTGTAATAAACAACATAGAAACAAAACATAGCTCCAAATTTAATTTGCATTCGATGCTTCCATTTCGTTAATACTTTGCAAAAACACTGAATACACATATGTTATTTAGCACCAACATGTAACAATGTAATTTACACAATCACAATAAATAGTTTACTCAATACAAAACAACGTGCATATATTAGTGGCAGCATGCAAGATGATCGCAATTCATAATGCTAATGTTCCCACAAGTCTTCAGAAAAGTATCTAAAATTACCAGAGATACCAGATATTCTGGCTGCACCCGTCCGCCTTTTTAGACTACTCTCTCGTAAGCTATTATTACGCTCACCCCTACTTTAGGCCCTTGATAGCTTCGCAGTCAGTTAGCGTTAAGGGGCCAATTCTGTTAGAATTTTGATAGCTTCGGCTATATCTCTTTTTAGTTAAGATTAGTTTAATTCTTAGTTTCTTAAGCCCAAGTGTCGGCTTTATCTTACAACTCCAAGACGGAGTTCTGTTACACTTGATTTGAATAATTAAAGGATTTTTTTCACCCTTCTATCTTGTTGTTTCCTGTCACACGAACTCAAGTGATTATTCGCTTATCAGTTCTTAAGATTCTTCACTTTCAACGGAATTACACAGTGGAGAATCTTACAAGCTTATACGGACTTAAACAGGGAGAGAACGACTAAATTTTGCCGAGGTTTAAAACTGGATTGTGTTATCAGAGGCTGACTGTACAGGTTTAAAGATCGGTAAAGTATTTACTGCAGGGATATTTCTATGCTATACGGATTTCTCATATATAAAATTAACACAAAGCAGTGTTCCTTAGAAAGTACTCCATGAAGACTCCCATCCCTTAGGCAAGTAATGCTTCTGCACTTTGCCGCAATAAACTGATCAAACAAACAAATCGATACGCAGAAATTCATTATTATTTAACATGAAAGAATTTTTGTCAACATCCTTTTATCCCAAATATTTCATCTAATTGCCAAAATTGACTTCCAAAATTTCAATAAGATTTAGTATGACATTTTTACAAACATAGAAAATTGAAAATACGGTTAGAAATAAAAACACATTAGGCAGAGTTATTTCAGATATTCTGGTTGGATAAAAAGCAATTAAGCGTTTTTTGTGACTTGCCGAGAACAATGTCCTTGAATGCTTGCAACTAAAGAATATTATACGATTCTCATTCGAGTGAGAAAACCAAACAAAAAAAAAAAAAAAAAACGTGAAAATAAATAATGTCCGTGATTGTACTTTACAATAGGAATTTAGGTATATTTTTATATTCATATCATTCATTACATCACCATTATGACGACCTTTTCTTCTGTCATTATATTTTATATGCGTTTCTTTTAACTTTTTTCGATGCAAATAGATCGCCATTTTTCTTTTCCATTGCTTATTGGAAATTTTTAACGGAAATATTTTAATTTTATATATCCTTTTGATATTTCAAAATTATCAGAAACAGTAAATTTTTCCATGCAAAATTTACTCTCACTAAGTTAGAGAAAAAAAAATATTCGAATTTGGTATCTCTTGATTGGTCTATTTCAGGAGTTAACTAAAATTAATTTAATGAAGTAGTTTAATTTAAGTTCAAATTTTATCATAATATTAATATATATATGGTTTAATAAAGATATTTGTAAAATTCATAATAAATACTAAAAAAGTGCTTTTATTTGGAATAGCCCATGCAAAATTTTCTTTAAAATCATAAACAGAAAAAATCACAACAAAGCGTATGTTAACATTTAAAAACAACTATATTAAACAGATATGAAAAATTTATATTTTGCACTCAGAAGTCGAAATATGCCTTCTAAATACGAGTTATTTTTGTAAACTACAAAGAGAAGGATTTCACTAAAACATTAAGTAGAAGGAAGAAAGACTTTAGGACATGATTTTACCTTGACTGCAAATTCATTCCGTGTTTCTAATGGCCGCTGTCCATTAATTATGGTCGCAATCAGAAAGTTACTAAATATTCGCTTGAAGGAAAAAGGTCTAATGAGCTTCAGTCTGTAAAAATGTTTATATAATTTCTTTATAAACTCATTAAATGAGAAATAATGGATATGACCTTATTCTTCTGACTTAATTGTATAAAATTCTTTTGTGCGAGACGAAGAAATCAGTTCCGCAGTTCTTTAAAGAAACAAATTTAATCTCGGTGATTGCAATAATAAAGCGTATCTAAATTAATTGTTATTATGCGTAACATTACGAATCTTTATTACTTATCGTTATTTTGGTTAAAATTCTATAATCGGGGTGAGCGCCAAGCTAGGCGAGAGTTTTTTTTTATTTGGCGCGATTTTGATTTGGTTGTGGTTTCTGGCTGTATGTTTTCTTATGGCAAAGCTACAGCTTTATTTCGGTAACTGTAAGAGCGCGAATTTATTGTAGCCAAAAGATTTTTTTAAAGAATTTAATTTTGAAATACTGTGTTTGTTTTTAAAAGTTTTACTGTTTAATATTATTGTTATATATATGTTTAATATTATATTTATATAAATATTCGCAGAAGGTTAAGCTGTTGTTGGTGGGAGAATGTTGGATATCATGTGACGTGAAGTTTATAATTTATGAATGTTTCCATTTAATTTTATTTAGTTATTTTTTTTTTAATTTAAGTTTTGTTTCTTGCATGTGGCAGTCGAAAGATGTGGAATATTTAAAGCTTTGAACGAAAGTTGTTTAATATGTTGAATTCCACGACGATAGTAACTTTAATACTTTAGATAGTTTATGATGCAGAATACGCATAATTTGCTATTCTGTTTACCTTTAAAACTCACTTCGCAGTAAGTGTCTGATAAGTGTATATATTTATTTACTCAATAATTATTTACAAGAATTGTTCATTTTACTATTTTATGATGAATTACATACAGTGTCTCAAAAAAGTGATGGGACACTTGTGCTTTACAAAAGGAAACTGCAATAAAATAAATTTAAAAAACATGTAAAATTTTTTCTGTGTGTGTTTCATACTTAAATTTAGTAACAATTATTACATAACATACATTTTCTCAAAATATTAAAATATTAATTTAATAAAAATACAATTGTTTAGAACGGAGCAGAAAATGGCTCACTTAAGTGATGGGACACTACGTACTATGCAACAAAAATCGTCTGAAGTAAGCAATAAAAATATTCTTTTGGGGTATTTATTTTTACTCAAAAGCAATTGCCAATAATTTATAAAATCGTCTGCAGTATTTCTCTCCAGTTTGTTTTGGAATTTTTGTGTTTTTTAGCTCTGTGCAGCCATGAATGCTAAACGAAAAGAAACTTTGCCTGGAATTCGAAAATTAGTTATTAATTTGCATATTGAACGTGGAAAATCTATTAGAGAAACTACTGAAACAGTTAACTTCAGTCATTCAACAGTTTTCAATATCATTAAACGATATAAAAAGAATCATATGATTCAGGATAAAAGAAGACCTGGCCGACCATCAAAGCTATCCAATGGAATAAAGCGAATTATCGTTCGAAATATTAAAAAAAATCCAAGAATGAGTGCTCCTAAAGTTGCTGCTGATTTACAAGCATTATATGGAGTAATTGTTAATTCTGAGACTATTAGAAGAGTAATTCGATCTACTGGATATCACGGTAGAGCAGCCAGGAAAAAATTCTTCGTAAGTGAAAAGAATAGAAAATCCAACATAAATAAGAATTCTGATTACTGGAATGAAGTTATATTTGCTGATGAGAGTAAATTTAGTATATTTGGTTCTGACCGTAGAATCTTGGTGTGGAGAAAACCCAGGGAAGAATTTCGCAAACAGAACTTGGTGCCAATAGTAAAACATGGTGGAGGAGGAGTTATGGTATGGGGGTGTATGTCGTCCGCTGGAGTTGGTAATCTTGTTTTTATTGACAGTATAATGGATCAGTACAAGTATATTGACATTTTAAATCAAAATTTGAAATCTTCAGCACGAAAATTGAACCTTCATAACGATTTTAAATTCTACCAGGACAATGACCCCAAGCACAGTGCTTTGAACGTTAGACTCTGGCTGCTGTATAACTGTCCTGAAATAATAAAAACACCCCCACAATCTCCACAATTAAATCCCATAGAGAATATTTGGCAAGAATTGGAATCAAGAATTCGCAAACACACCATTTCTTCAAAACAACAATTAAAATCGGTGCTTCAAGAAGAATGGAGTAAAATCACTCCAGAAATCACAAAAAAATTAGTCGAATCCATCCCAAGAAGATTAAATCATGTTTTAAAAGTAAAAGGAAATCCAACAAAATATTAAAACCTTTTAAAAAGTAAAATTTTTGGATAAATATTTGATGGAAAAGTAAGTGTCCCATCACTTAAGTGAGCCATTTTCTGCTCCGTTCTAAACAATTGTATTTTTATTAAATTAATATTTAATATTTTGAGAAAATGTATGTTATGTAATAATTGTTACTAAATTTAAGTATGAAACACACCCACAAAAAATTTTACATGTTTTTTAAATTTATTTTATTGCAGTTTCCTTATGTAAAGCACAAGTGTCCCATCACTTTTTTGAGACACTGTATGTAGGATTATGTTTTTACTTGCAAAGCTGTTGGACTTTGTTTTACTCATCTAGTATTTTATTATCTCATTTTACTATTCTGTTTACATAAAATAACGACGTTTCACTACTGCAAAACTTAAAAATTTCTATTCTGTTTACGTTTAAAAATCACATTTTAGTGCTTTTATTGCCGCCTAAAAAATTCGCCAAATTTTTAAGGCCAAAATAGTTTGGCGCCAACTTACCCGGCTTATGGAATTTTAGCCGTTATTTTTACATTACAAATTTTGATAATTTTATTTGTCATTAATAGTTAGAGATGAGACTCATTAACGGATTGAAAGAAATGATTTATGATTCTGCAAACGAACTTTCCTTTCGAAAGCCTGCCAAATCTGAAATTTCAGAATTAAATATAAATTTAGTTTATTTGATTCTTTTTTATATGAATCATGTGATTGATTCCAAAATTTAAAACAAACCTTTTCACCACAATTAAACCTTGCACATTTTGATGAACATTACAAATGATATGCTCCTGTTATTGTTGGGTAACAGCATAGATGTAGTTGTATTGTTTTAAAATCAAGGATTTAGAGTTAAATACAAAAATTATTTAAACGTTCAAAATGAGTTAATGAGCATGTTTGTTAAGTGCAAAGAAAACAACCCCAATTATTGGAAAACACTGCTCAATAAGGGTTCAAATACAAGAAATAAATTCATGGTTACGGAAAAAAATTGAATTGATTGTATTTTCCGATAATTCTTTCAATGTCTTAAATCATCATACAATTTGTCTATTTTGAATTCTTTCGAAACTGAAACTTAATAAAGATTTTTCAGCATTCGTGCATAAATATTTTCACTATTCAGTAAAATTTGCCGTAAAGCACACTACAAAATGTTTAGGTTATCGCAAGATCTTGTCTTAAGGTCACATTTCTGCAAAAGACGATCTATGAAACCTCTGGTTTTGTAAGTAAATTTCATAGACCTAGCAATAAAGTTTTTAACTGTCGTCTGCGCTGTCTGACGCTGCTTTGTTTTTAGTCGGATCTGGGTAACAATTCCAACAAGAAGTTCATCGACATTGTGGTTGAAGCCTACTGAAGTCTCTATGTATTTCACATCAAGTTTATCAGCCAGGGACTTTCCTTCTGAAAATATAAAAGTAAAATTGTAAACATAGGGCAATAAAAAAGATAAATGAAAGAACATTTGAATACTGTTCATCCAAATTAAACATATTAAACATCAGAAGAGATTTTCTCTCTTTTTCTTTATGTTTTATTAATGCTGAAACTGCAGATTCCCTAATTCTCACCACAGCTTTCAGCTCACTGAGGCTGAAATATACACGTCTATCGTTAGATCCCACAATGCACCGGGAATCATTACACAGCTAACAATAGAACGAGTCTGACCAAAACTTCATAAGATTTATTCAAGACCTCGGCCAAAAAGGTGTTACCTCGGCTTGCCGTTCGTGACGTCACTGCAGTAGAGATACTTTCGTTCGTGCTAACGTTAAGAATATGTAAAGAAGCCTTCTTAAAAATCCTTTTAATAAGGTTACAATTTAATTGAATATAAGTTTTTACATCTTCTGTATTCACATAATTTATAAATCTGGAAATTAATTTGTGTCTCTCAAAATTTGATTTTTATTTTTAGAATGTTTTTGAGACAAATAACTTGATTTCTAATATCCATATAGTTCAATTTATCAAAAGCTATCATTATTAATTTTAAGAAATTTGACTGTGAATAACGGTTGCAAACGAAAGAAACTACATATTTGATAAATCGAAATTTAATTTATACAGAATAATTAAACAGAAAGACATATAGAAATTTTAAACTAAATACAGAGATATCTTAACAAGTGAAGATAATTTCTAATCCATTTAAATTGAGGAACATATTTTACCTGGAATCATATCGCAAGATAAAATCCAAAATTGAAAATTGATATTATCATAGTTACCTTGCTATATACCTTGAGTGATAAAGTATATATCCTTGATAAGTATTAATGGTATTACCTTATATTTAATATATATTCCCGAAAGATATTTGTAATAAATATTGTTCCGAATTTTATATTTAAATAGCTAATTTTAGTAGAATTATAATTAAAATTTTCATATTTTCCCATACAATTCAGGGCGAGACAAAATTTTAAGAGAAAACTATGCGAGAAAAGTAAAAACATTGCAGCACGTGGGCATTCAACATTGAATAAATGGGTATCTCGGTAATTCGTTTTAAAATTGAATAAATGTAAATGACCGCCATTTTAGTTGTTGTAACCGTATTGCCTTTCCGTAATTTCGAGAAACAGAAACTACTGGAAATATCTCGCGACCGGTTGAAAGCTATAAAAGGCCGCAGAGATAGCACTTGAGTTCAGTTGTTCAGTTAATTGCTTAGTTACTGTTGTTTCGAGTTTAGTTCCGCGAGAACTGAGATTAGCTTCCTCTTTAGATGCGCTTTGTACTGCATTGTATTTAACGTTTTTTTAGTAGTTTGAAACATAATTACTGATTATATTGCGTGATATTGTGAAAATTTGTATGAAAATCTCCGAGGAAAATTCCAGAGTTCTGATATATTTCTTTTGATGAGAATAAATTTTAGTAACCTATTATCGAACTTGGGCATTTCATCTATTATGAACCCGTATGCACGCAACAATACTTATATTTGAAAAAATAACGCTAAGTTTGCAATGACTTGAAAAATTTTCATAAACATGAAACAGTGAGACGTAGTGCACACGATTGTTAAAGGAATTAATTATATAATGAGCATATGTTATTGTTATAAAGTAAATGTAATTTGGGATATATAACACAATAAGCGAAAGACAAAATTATCAATGGAATAGAGTATGATGTCGAATTATATTACTAAAATGTCAGACCTCAAAATTAACAATTAACAGAAATTATACATTGCAATTCTAAACCCAAGACAATTTTGCACTTTTTATAAGAATATGTTAGGTAACACGTATAGGATTGTGTTCTTAGCTCATTTTTTCCAGTCAATTAATTCACAGAGAAATGATAATTCGAAACAGAGCAAGGAAAGAGATAAAATAAATCATCGAAAATTTCTCTTCAGTCTATGTATTGACAATATAATTATTGCAAATTCTCTATGGTTAAGCTCTGAGCTATGAATATTATTTTATTATTGTACATCGGATTTCATTATGTAAAATTTCCTTAGTCCTATATTTAAACGAATCCTAATTTACACACACACACACACACACACACACAAAAAAAAAAAAAAAAAACTGTGGTTTTAATCTATAGAATGATAAATATTACTGGGTGCTACAAAAATTAAATGCCTATCTAAGTGATTTTATTTACGGAATAACTTATTTAACGTTGTACTTATTTTAAGATTTACATTAAGTATCTTATAAGTACATGTACTCGCTTTAGTTCACTATAATTAGATTATATATCACTTTGGAATTTCCCTAACTCAAAAAAAATATAGACTCACTCATTTCATTAATTTTAATTAAAAAAGTAAAAGTCACGTTCGAAAATTTTGTCGACGTAAGATCCTTTTGCATTAACATATTTGCTTCATAATTCTTTTCCTTTCGAGGGGGACTCGCACTTTTGGACTACTGGAATAGTTCTCTTTACTAGACATAGCACAGATTTACCATATCCAATTTTTGAAATAGGAAGCATATGAAAATAAAGGAATACACTTATATAGTGCGAAATAGCTTTGAAAATTGAAAATACAAGAGAACATTAACCATTCTCTTGAATGCTTAGCACCAAACTAGTGACCCGGAAAATCATCCCACCAAATTCCTGAGTGAAGGGATGCTGTGAAACCTTTTATCTACTAATTTTGACAGCCTACTGACATTAATAGCCTCTCCAAGAAAAAGCACCACGGCTTTCATAGATTCACGGGGTGCTGGCGGGACTCATATTATGGGCTTACATAGTGGCAATATCAGCACTAAAACTGCTATTAAAACAGGAAAAAGTTTGCATTAATACTTCGCCGAACGTTGATTTTTGTAGAATTTTTGCTTCTAAGAATTTTACAAAGTTAAGCCTCTTAAACCTTTCTTCCTTCTTTTAGATATCCCTACGCGAAGCATAGCTTCAAAACATTTTTCCGTCATGAGCAGGAAATATTACTGTTAGAACTATCTTTCAAACTACTTCTGGGAAAACGCATTTGATTGTACACACCAACTTATAGAAAAAAAAAAAAAAAAAAAAATTATATTGGACCCATACCATTAGTGTACTTGCTTAAGTCATTATTACTTGGGTCAGGTACAAGTGTGTAGATCACCAAAACAGCGTCATAGACAAAATTGATAATGTCTCAGCACAGTAACCATCAGGGTCGCCCAGTTCATTTATAATTTTAAAAAGATTAGATGTTGTTTGTCATGGAATTATTGGAGGCAAAATTATGAGGTATAGGTTATAGATGACATAGGTTGAGGCTTTGTTGATGTAGTATAATCTATGAGGGATTTAAGTCTGTTATTTATCTTTTAATGGTACCCCAAGAATCTTTTTAATCTGATGTCAGTTACTTGGATGTCTAGTGTAGAAACTCTCGGTTAGAGGACATGTAAAGATGTAATGGTCAGGAGATCTCCTTTTCCCCCATATAACATATATCAGTAGTTGATAAATTTCTAGCATTGAAAAATGGGGGGGGGGTCATGACCGGAGATACTATTGCTAAATAAAATATACTGATATAATGATGCTATCATTGATATTTGGAAAAACTTGAAATGTTCTGCGGACTTGTGGTTCATGATTCCATTGCAATTATTTCTTTCGTGATGATATTTTTACTTCCTTGTACGAAGTAAAAAGGAAGTATTGTAATCGCGAAAAGTTTCAGGTAGCATATTTAAACGAAAATATCCCATTTTGACCTCTTTCAAATGCAATTTAACGATGTATTTCCGTGATATCTGTATGTAAGGACAGAATAAAATACTCTTTTCCTCCAAAAAAATTATAAAACTGCTTTAAAATGAATTCTGAAGAGAATTTTTCGTGGCGTCTGTACGAACGTATGTACGTACGTATCTCGCATAACTCAAAAACGTAGTAGCCGTCAGAACCGTTGAAATTTTGTATATAGGGACTGCTATAACCTCGTAGTTGTGCATCCTCCGTATTTTCGTTGCAATCGGCCGCACCAAACGTATATAATATATTATATATATAGCCACTCTGTTACCCGGATCAGTGATCTCAGTTTCTTTACTCTTATACGTTTGTAAATTGTACATTTTTTGCTTTAAAAATGATTGAATTATGTTGTTCGTATCCTCCGGTTAAGGTTTTTATGCCTTTAGTAAATCTGTATGCAATATTTTTAGAATTATCAACAATTTTAAAATTGTTTAAGTGCCGCTAAGCCTAATAATGTTTTTGATGGCGGCCATTGCTCTTGTTTACATTTGAAACAGCAGGATAGAGGATTTGTTGCCAATCTAGAGAAAATTAGCTTCGCAACAACAAAGATAACGCCTTCATTTATTATTTAAATCATGCTTAATCCTTTCTGGAATTTTTTCGAGGAAATAAGCGTTTAAGATTTACTTCGTAATTTTAATACAGATATTTTGAGGTTTTATGTATTTTTGCCTTGTCGCGAAGTGAAAACTGAATTAATTGAATGAGAAATACTTAATCGTCTGTGAAAACTGTTTATTTTTTGTTTTGTTTGCTTAATTTCTTTTATACATCGTTCTAGCTTTGTTACAGTATTTGAATAGAACATGTGGCAAGTATTAGATAATTCTTTAAATGATATAAATTTTGTGCATTATGAGTTATAATATGAACAAAATATAATAGTGTTAAGTAAACCTAGCGCCAGAGTGTCGCTATGGTAAACAAAGTGAATTTTAAAGAATGTATTTATTCTATTGTGGTTTATGCGCTGTCGGCGAAGTAGGTTTAATTCAATCTTAAATTAAATGAAATGTAAGAAAAAGTGCGTATAATTTAATATTCCGTACAAGGAAGTCATGTGGTGTACACATCAGATTTTTAATTTATGTTTTAATGCGCATCTTGGCCATGGCTTTAAACGTTTTATTGTAAGAATGTCCACTCTTTCGTTG